TGCAATAATTATCAAAATTATAAATTGGTTGATTATTATTATTTAAGATATTACTTGGCAATTTCTTCAATTGCTCTCTTTTCCAAAAGTTAATTCGTAAGGAGTGTATTTTGTCTCGGTATGTACACTGTTATTATACGAAAAACACCAAAACGGTACCCACGAGCTCCATGTGTCTGAAAAATTTGATGTTTGAATTCTTAAATAAGATCCTAAATGCTTATGACTATTTTCTATGGCACCCATGGATTGGTAGTTTCGCTGTTTCTTTGAACACCTGACTTAAAAACTTAGTTCCCTTATCTGTAGCAATCTCATTTGGGATCCCGTATTTTTAATATAAAATTGTTTACTAATGATCTCGCCACAGTTTCGGATTCTTTGTATTTAAGAGGGTATCCGTCTACGAATTTAGTAAATTCGCATTGAATTGTTAGTATATACCGGTTATCATCATCATCCTGATTTAACGGACCTACCAAATCTAAGTAAACATTTTCAAACGCAGATGATGCTGTTGTTATTATTGTTACCGGTTCTTTATGAGGTATCGAATGTTTATAACGTTGGCATTCTTCGCACCTTTTTACGAATTTTGTTATATCAACTTTTAGATTTTCCCATAAATAATACCGTTTAATGTTAGCATACATACGATTTATACCCGCATGTCCCCCAGTCGGAAGAATATGAAAATCATTTAATATCAACTGACATGTTTGCTTACAATCGATATAACTTGCTTTACTGATTGCGTTTATTTGTAATTTTAATTCTTTTAGTAAAGTAACACTTTTCGACAATCGCTTAATCAATTCATCATTATCTCGAGAATTTAATATAAATATGTGCGCATTATTATTTATTTTACAAGTGTGACTCAAATCTCTCAACACCGCTTCGAAGGCAAGAATTGATCGAGAACTCGACTTAATAAAAATTATTTTAAGTTTTTTATCATAAATTACTTTCTCTTCTTCCATTAAGCGTTTATTGTTACATTGCCGTAATTCTATTGAATTTGGTGGAGGTTTCAATAACTCAACGATTCCGAGGTGGCCAATTCATTCATCAGTTTCGTCATTTACACCTTCATCCACTTCAAATTTTGTTTTAATTTTTGTTTCGATCTTATAACTACAAAAATATTCTCCGACATGGTTTTAAGATTTTAAAATCATTGGAATTAACAACAATTCTTGATAAAGCATCATCTGTTGAATTGTCTTTATCTTTAACGTAATGTACTGAGAAATCGAATTCTTCTAATACGAGTCTAAACTTTATCAACCGAGAAGACGGGTTATCCATTCCAAAAAGATATGTCAAGGGTCTATGGTCAGTATAAACTTTAAATTTTTTCCCATATAAATATGGTCGAAAGTGTTTTACAGCCCAAACAATAGCTAAAAGCTCTTTTTCTATTGTTGCATAATTGATCTCTGACTTGTTTAATGCTCTACTGGCGTATGCTACTGGTTTATTATCTGCATTTGATAGTACTGCACCAATCGCACAACCAGATACATCTGTTGTTAATGTAAATTCGTTTGACGGACTAAAATCAGGAAAATAGGTGGGCTAACCAAAGCGTTTTTTAAGGTTTCAAAAGATTTTTGACATTGTTCGTCTCAATTAAATTTTACCATTTTTCGCGTTAGTTTATTTAAAGGATAAGCAATTTTTGCAAAATTTGGAATAAATTTTCGGTAATAATTTGCGTAAGCAATAAAATCTTTTACATTGGTTTCAATCTTTTGGAACAGGATAATCTCTAACAACAGTAATTTTGCTTGGATCCGGAAGAATCCCTTCAGACGAAATTACATGTCCTAAATATAAACCTTGTTTTTTCAAAAATTTACACTTTACGGGGTTCAATTTTAAATTAATCTTTCTAAGTCTATTAAGAACTTTTGTTAAATTTTGATTGTGATTGCTTAAATTATTATCAAATACTACGAGAACATCTAAATAAACATAACACGTTTCATAATTTAATCCGGACATAGCTATAGTCATAACCTTTGAAAAGGAATTTGGACTAGTTTTTAACCCCATGGTCATTTGATATTGACCCTTACTAGTAGTAAAAGCTGTGTACTCTTCCTGCTGTCTTCATCTAATTTAACTTAGTAGTACCCTTGAGATAAATCTAAATGTGAAAAATAAATCGCTCCCGATAAGAAATCTAAAATCTCCGTCACATTTGGTAACGGGAATCGATCGTCTTCGACCTTTGAATTTAACTGTCGGCAGTCAATCACTACTCTCCAACTTTTATTACCAAAATTGTCCGTTTTTTTTGGAACAATTAAAAGACGAGAAGACCAAGTTGATTTGGTTTCCTCAATAATACCGTTTTGCAATCATGTTTGAATTTGTTCATCGATCACAACTTTCTGTGAATGAGGTAATCTATAGGGTTTAATATAAACAGGTTTTGCATCTTTCTTTAATCTAATGCTTTCTGAAACAATATTCGTCACTGTTAACGAATCTCCTTCTAAAAGAAACACATCAGCATATTTCGCACAAATTTTGTGAACCAAATTTCTTTCTTCGCTCCTTAAATCTTTTACATCAATTTTATTTAACAATTTACTTACTCTATCTACCAAATTATGATTGTTATCAAAATTATATAAGTAAAATTTGGATAATTTACATGTGTTTGGTAAAAAATTTCGAATTTTAATTTCTTTATGATGGGTATTTAAAATACGTACAGGAATCATGTGAGATTTTGGTCTCACGATAGCTCCTGCTGTAAAAACACCTTCAGTAATTTCGTTAGGCAAAATTACACAATCGTCTACTTCATTTACCCTGTAATACTTTATTATTTCACAACGTGGAGGGATAGTTGTAAAACTGTTGTAACTAGATTCTAAATTAATTGTTATTTTTGAAGTGTTATCCTAAAAAGAAAATAAAAATGTTTCAAAATCAGATCCAATAATTCCATTCATACCTGATCCTAAATCATTAATTATTAAAAATTTATAGTTAATTATGTGATTATTTGATTCAAGTGAAAGATCTACTGTACCAGATGAAGTAATGGAACCTGCAATTCCATTTATTACGATGTTACGACTTTTATCAATAATTTCATCACCTTTTAAAAATTTTGAAAAAATTACACTAGCAGTAGCACCCGTGTCTAAAAGAAAAGTCAATAATTGATTTCTATAATGCAGTGAAACATAATTCATACCATTCATACATAATACCTCACATTCTGAACTTTTATTCACGAAAAAACTGAGTTTCGGATGAATTTTCTGCCGAGTTTGCAATCCAAACATTCTCTCGGCTTTGTTGAAACTGTTGACCCGATTGAAATCTGAAAAGACTTCTATTGCCGTTTTGGTTAAAATTATTTAAGTTTGATTTATTTGGTTGATTTGGTTACTATTACCGTATTGATTATATGATCCTCTGAAATTTCCACCGCGATTATGATTAAAAGGACGGCGCGCCCTTATTTGACCCCTATTTCTACTACCAGGACCTGATCTAAACGGAAACCTTTGATTATTACTTGAGGATTTGTAGAAATAAAACATATTAGAAGATGACGGTTTATTCTGTTCTTCATCTAATGCTACAGAGATCACATCTTTTAATGATTTGCAATTTCTTGATTTTAATATCGTTCGCAAATCATGGTTTCTAACACCATTACAACAAGAATTAATTGCTATTTTTTCATTTACTACGCGTAAGGATATTAAAAGATTGTCATCATCTCCCGCCTGTGATAATGTTAAATCACTCAGCAATTGTTCGATTTCCTGACCAAATTCAGTTGCCGATTTATTTAGCTGTCAAGCTTGATGAAGTGTTGTACCGGATTTTTTCGTTACATAATTATCGCGAATATATTTTTAACCTATCTTTAAGAATATTACGAGATTCTATAATAATATTATCTATTTTATTAACATACTCTTTTATTTTATCTAAAACGTCTAAATTTGAAAAATCCTTACTTGTTTCTAATTTTAATGAACCTAACCTATCTGAAAATTTATCTATATCTGCTAATCTTTTATGAGTTAATTCTAAGTTTTTTCTTCTTTCTTGATTATCTTTAATTATATTTGTCTTATTTACCTTAAGTTCTTCCAAAACTTTTTTAAATTTATCCACTGTCTCCATAAAGCAATAACAACATTGTCGCGCATAGACACTAATTCTTGGCTCCTAGAAACTTCTAACCGAATTCTCTTCTCTAACTTAAAAATCAGGATAAGAATTATAATTACTGCATAAACAATTTCCGATGTGGTGAACGATTTATCCAATCCAGACGTTGCTCCTCCAGAATTTCCGCTTGACTTATTATTCTTTCTTTATTTTCTTTAGACTGTATCCCATTTTGTTGAATTAATCTTCTTCTTTTTTCTTAGATTTACTTTTAATTAGTTGTTTTGGTTCTTAATATGCAGGATCGCCATGTGTTAACTGTTGATGGTTATTTGAATAAATTGAATATTAGACAGTGATAGAATTGAAAGATTGTTTCGTTATAACGTTTTATTTATTCATTCTTACTCTACGATTACATATACTAGACTAAAATTTTAAAAGTTTATATTATTCGAATTAAACATAAACTAATTTGCAAGATCAACATTATCGAATGTCCTCAATTCGTAGGTGCAATGCACCTCCGAATTGCACGCATCGATATTACATAAATTTCCTAATCATTTCCTGTTTTGTATTCCATTACACGTTATCTTTCTTTTTGAACCCTTGTTTTTAATGGCAACCTTAGAAATTTATATATTGTTTGTAAATTTTTACTAATATTCTCAAATTAAACACCACCATTAGTCTGGTAAAAACGTTCCATCAAAATCCCTGTCCAATTTACCTAATTAAATTGTCTCAAAATCAATACCGCGACCATTCACCATTCGTTCAAGACCCTCTCGTCTTCTTGAATCCTCTTAATTAACTTGGCTCGTATTTACATTGCACCCCAGATAATGGCCAAACAAAAGAACTTAAACTGGGTCGAAATAAAAACTCTCGGACAGCTGCAACAGACGCTGGGCGCCGACCTCCAAACTATGGCCGAATTAGTCGAATCGACGTTCCACGAAGAACCTTACACCAAAGAGGAGGTTCTCCAAGAGCTTGAAATACTGGACGATGAACTGGAAAATATTAGCCTTACGCCCAATACGAAGCACATTGAGATGTTTAAGTTAAAACAAAGAGCTGCACATGTTTTTCAAGGTATTAATAAAAATTAATTGTAATTTTACTTATTCAATTTATTTTTATTTATTTTAGAGTCTTTACGTGTAGATCAATTTATTGAGAATTGCAAATGCGATTGTTCGCAAAAATCTAATAAGGAAATCTTAAAAACGCTTGGTGAATTGATGACTGCAAGCCATATAAGTTTACGGGATTTATACGAGTGTAGCCATCCACAACTGGACAAGTTAGTGGATCTGTCGTCGGAGCTGGCATTAGGAGTCCGTTTAACCGGTGCTGGTTGGGGAGGATGTGCAGTGGCCCTCGTCGAACCGGACAACGTCGAAGAGTATATGTCCACATTGAAAAAGAAATTCTATTCGGAAATGACATCCGACGACATTTTGCTCTTTGCCACGTCTCCAAACGCCGGGGCGTGCATTTACACTATAAACTCCGGAAATTGAATTGTAAAACACTTCGTTTTGGTAACACGCCAAAACTTTTCAACAAATCTTATTTGATTTACAATTGTAGTGGTAGATGTTGTAAAAGAATTTTTCTTTATCATATTAAATACTTTATTGATTTTCTTTAAAAATTAGTTTTTCTATCAGGATGTTGCCAAAATGTATCACAAAATGTTTATATAAAACAATTTTATTTAAATAAACAGTATTATCGACGAAATCTTTTTGCTTATTATCTTTCCTTCTCTTGAATTGTTCGGAGCTTGAACAATAATTTTCAATTATAGCATGATTACTTTCAAAACTTTGCTTTTCATACGAAAGGATGAAAAGTTTTTAGAGTTGGTGATTAATCAAACCACTTTGTATTTGGACGTAGTTGGGTTAACAAAAGCTCTATAAAGAACACCTTTTGTCCCATTTATTTAATTGTGACTGAAGGCAACAATAGGTACAAATCTGTTTTTTATGCTTTTTCGACGATAGAATTTCGACAATAAAAAATAGAAAATTCGATTTCAATAGAATAATAATAGAATATGTCACCGTGATGTTCTATTCGAATTACAGAACGCGTAATGGACTTTATAGGAACGGTTTGTCACGTGCTCTGGCTGTGATTCCGAGTTATTCAAATTGGTGCCAAGTAATTCCGAGTTAATCTGCGGAAATCCAGGTCCGGACAATTTCAACAGCCCTGCACAATTGTGTATAATTCGTTTTAGATTTAATCGATTAAACTACTTCAATTGCTGTATCATCTATATTACTAAAGGTGATCCAAAAATAGATAACATAATTAAAATCATATCCATTTTACTCTCAAATTAACTAAATAACACTTCATTCACCAACGGCTATAAAGGTTACGTCAAAACATCAAATTGCAAAAGTTATACTTAAAAGTGTCTATTTAATAGTATAAAGCTGTTAAGTCAATAACTAGAACAGAAAATTTGTAATAAAACTGCTACTACTTTAATTGCAATTTAACTGGTTTGTTCGTTGGAAAAGTAAGCTGCCTTCGAGGTATGACGGGAGTTTTAAAAATGAAATTAATTTCTCGACAGTAATCTAGTTAAATGTTCAGACGCTATGTTCTTGGACAAACCAAGCTCGAGGCGGTGCAGTTTTGAAGCTCCGACGAACTAAAGCGACTTCGTCGAGATAGTTCTCTTCTCTTTTAAGTACCACAGGAAGGCGAGAGCGACTCGTAGGTATGCATGCGATCGCCCTTCCCTAACAAAAACTCAATTTGCTTCGAGCACGTAAGGCTTTACCGTGTTAAAATTTCAGGTTAAATTAAATCGACAGGACGATCGATAAGTCACTGTCCCGGTTCGTTTTCCTCTCCGAGTTCATCGAATGAACCCATCCAAAAAAATAAAAAACATTTTCAAACCGGTAGGGACGAAAACGTAATTTCGCATTCGCTCGTTATAATTTTATACAGCATAAATACAAGGGTGAACGGGCAGGTTCGGTCTCTCTCTGTGTAGAAACGAAAACATATCGTTATGCTTTGGAAACGAAGTGTAACCGCTATAAGTACTTTTTGATTTATTCCAGTTATATAAAAGAGTACGTTCTCTCTGCATACTTCAGGAAAATATACATATTGCGATAAAATACCCAGCCATATGGGAAAAAGATTATTTGAAGTATTGCACATAGAGACTCGATATAGAAAAGAGTAGAAAACGGTTTAAATAAGGAAAAGAATAACTCAAAATACCTTGCAATAAAAAGGGCAATAAATGAAATAATAATTGTAAAGTCTTATAAGTTATTGCATCCAATTCACACATATTGCATATTAACTCGAATAATTTAATTAAATAAATAATAACGTAATATATTTTATCAATATATTACGTTATTATTACATTATTCGAAGAACAAGCTTTTTTGTATTAAGTAATTAATTGATAGCTCGGGATTTTATCAGTGTAAGCGCTTTAAAAAGTTGGAAAGCTGCTTACTGAGCTTTTATAAATTTATTGTCTATCACAAATCAATCATAAAGGGGTAGAGCTTCGCCGCTAACAATTTTAGCTGGATATTTTTGTTCGAAAGTGGATACCAACTTCTTCAAGTCTTTTTTTGCCAATATAGATATACTAAATACACTCAATTCTGTTTTTTTCGCGATAGATTTGTCGATACGGTATTTGTATGAAAATAGGAGATAGATTTCGAGATCTGAAGAATGGGCTAAAACATTATGATGCAAGTAGGCATTCATCTTTCTTAATTTGCTTTTATTTAAAACTTTGTTTATAAATAAAATAAAAATACATATAAATTAAATAAAAATAATCAAAAAATCATTATTTAGTGAGACAGACACATACAAAAATTAATTTTTAATTACTTTTACTTAATCACTTTTAGATGCATTTCCGTTCTCAAGTTAATCTATTGCTTTAGTGATTCTAGTTACAAATTTTGATAACGATCGTTGTGTTCCGAATTTATAATACAGCAAGAAGTATCATCGACCAACAACGTGAACAGCAATAGAAAAAATTTTATTAAAAGTAAAAAAAACAAAATCTTTTCTCAGGGATAATCCTTCATTGATGATTACCAAAGCTGACAAAGGTGCCACCACTGTCATCCTTAACAAAGACGATTACTTAATTAAGTCCAAAGATATGTTAAGTGACACTAATGTCTACAAGGTTCTTAATAATAACTCGTTGATCTCTGTACAAAACAAAATTAATAATTTTGTAAAATTACTTTATGAAAAGAAGTATATTAACATCGGTGAAAAGAGACAACTAACAACCAATAACTCAATCCTTGCTAAAGCATATTTTTTGTCAAAAATACATAAGGAGGGGACACCTTTGAGGCCGATTATATCATCGATTGGTGCGGCATCGTACGCTTTGTCAGGTCACATTGATGCAATCTTGAGTTCAGCTTTTAATAATTTATTTATTTATTTATTTATTTCATGTGGGTTCAGAAACAGGTCGAACCCAATAATACTGTACCACAAACAACCAATTGTATACAAATAAAATAGAATTACAGTTCACAATAATAACAATAATGAATTAACATTAATGGTACAAAAGTGATTCAAAAGGAATAAAAAACTAAAACTAAGTTTAGGTGATATAAATATATCATATATCAAATATCAAATGAACGCTCGAGGCAACACACCAACTGCAGCAAAGAGCAGTTTTTTAAATGCATAGAAAGAATGCTGAAACAGATCTATGTTAACACAATTTTCCGATCTTGCCATTCTCAATAAAGGAGAGTTTTGACAGGCATTGGTTCTAGGAGTAGGTGTCATAAATAGAAAATCAAAGCGAAGTAATCTCGGAGGAACGTGAACACATATAAAACCAACAAGCATTGGAGAATCACACTTGTTGTTCAAAAGTTTGTAAAAATATAATATATCCCCACAAAAGCGACGCTGGTTGAGGGTTAACATACGAAAAGAAGTGCAAGTTGATTCGTAATCAATGTATTGAATGGAAAATTTAAAACAAAGGTATTTGAGGAATTTAGATTGAATACGCTCAATTCTAGATTTATACGAGAGATACTGAGGATTCCAAACGACGCTGCAGAAGTTAACTGTGCTGTAAACATAGGCAAAATAGAGATTTCTAATTGCAGCAATGTTTGAAAAAGCTACCGTTGATCTCATAATAAATCCTAACATACGCCAGGCTTTGGAGACAACAGTATCTCTAATAAATGAGACACGTTGCAACCTCTCACCAGCGACGCTATAATTGTAGTGGATTGTGTTCACCCTCCTAGAGAAGGAAATAACATTACACTTTGATAAGTTTAATGAAAGGCGATTATTTAAGCAAAAAGCATGTAGATTGTTTAAGTCAGATTGCAGTTTAGAACAATCAAGAGGTGAGGAGATACGGAGAAAGAATTTTAAATCGTCAGCATACATTAAACATTGGGCATAATTAACGACGTCAAATATGTCGTTAACATAAATATTAAACAATAAAGGGCCCAGATGGCTACCCTGTGGAACACCAGAAGGAACCGACACAAGATTAGAGAAAAAACCATTAACCGAAACAATCTGGCATCTCTCCTTCAGATAGGAAGCAAGCCATTCCAAAGATTTCCCTGAACACCAAACTTCTTTAGTTTGAACAGAAGTAAGTTGTGATCCACTCGGTCGAAAGCTTTACTAAAATCCGTATAAACTGAATCAACCTGACAAGAATCATCCAGAGTAGATAAGATATACTGGGTATATTCAAGCAAGTTACTCTCCACCGAGCGACCAGCAAAAAACCATGTTGTCTAGAATTGATTGTAGACTTAAGGGCAAAGAATAGACGTGCATGAACTACTTTCTCAAACACTTTCCTAAATGCTGGCAAAATAGATATGGGGCGGTAATCGGATATAGCACCACGGTCCCCAGATTTAAAAATGGGAAGAACAAAAGCCCGCTTCCACAATAAAGGAAATACACGCATTTTCAATGAAGCATTAAATAAAATAGTTAAAGGAAGGGACAGAGAGTGTGAACATTCCTTGATTAAAATTGATGGAATACCATGTTGATGACTGTCTGTAACCCTGATGCCCATCAGGGCCTCCTCAACCTCAATTCTGTCAAACTGCAAAGGAAGGGTATCCATTTCTATACAATCTGCATTCTGCTGGATTGGAGCAGGATCCACAAAAACCGACGAAAAAAAATCAGCAAACAATGAGCATACTCCGACACCATCGCCGACAACAGTTCCATTCCATGACATCGTAGAAGGAATGATATCCGCACGCTTCTTAGACTTAGTAAAAGCCCAAAACACCTTTGGATCAGATTGCATATTACTTTCAGCTCTTCTAACATACTCCATGTAATTGTGGTGGATTAGATACTTTGCACGACTCCTTAGAATTGAAAAAGTGAGGTAGTCAAGTCGGTTTCTAAAACGCTTCCATCTACAGTGCGCCCTCCTTTTCTCTCGAATTACTTTAATGGTACTGTATGAAAACCAACTGGGAAAACCCTTGATAGCTTTGCGTTTTAAAGGGACAAATTCGCGAATAGCAGTATTAACATAGTTATAAAAAATTTGAACAGCGTCATTGATATCACGACCAGCGAGCTCTGATTCCCAATCAATTCCATTAAAGTACTCATTCAATTCAGGAAACCGGGCTTTTCTAAAACAAAAAGCATCACCATGCTGTATAGATAAT